GAAGGATTGCTATGAATTTGAGGCCAGCCTAAGATACATAGTGAGACCCTGTCTTACAAAACCAAAAAACAAAAATTAGTAAGAGTAAAACCAGAGACTGGCTGCCTCCAATGTTCAGCCTACTCTAAGTCAACAATACGCTATTACAGGCAGAGATATCCACTGCACACATGAAGCAAACATACAAATACACCAGCTCAAGTTAATCCTATGGTGATACTGGTATGAGAAAGAATTCCACTTGAGAAAAATCAGAAGGCTGGGTAGAGCCAAACCCAAAGCTGGAAATAAGTAAGGAATATTGCAGACACTGCCCACGCTCTGTCTGACAGGCAGCACTGACACTCAGCAGCATGACAAGGCACACGTGCCACAGTAGCCGCCTGGGGACTGCTCCAGGCAGCCCACGGTGGGAGCCATGGGGTTGCTGGATTGGATCACTTTTCTATTTCTGGAGCAGCCTATACTCCCCTTTGCCTTCAGGCCAAAGATGACAAGATGCCTACTCCAGGAGGAAAAGACATGTGTTTGACCCAGTCTGAGGCTCTAAGGGCAGTTTTCTCAGGCAAATACCTCTGTTCAAAAAACCTGAGCTAAATAAAAACCCTACACCCTAATACTAGAAGACTAAACACTCCGCTAGGTCTCTATACCTCAGCCTACTGTGGTCCAGTTCTGGGGCTCATGTTCTAGTTGATCTACACAAAAGCTCCTCCACCTAAGATGGGAAGAGTTCATGCTGGTCTGTTCCCTACAGAGGGCCAAAGGGCTGAAGATGTGACTGGAGGGCTGTGGGTGGCACTGTGTAAATCAGAAACCAGGAATGGAAGCTGCTTGGCAGGAGACCGTGGTTATGAGGCTGGGATCAAGGTAGGGACCAAGGTTCCCTGAAATGGGTTTCCATGGCCTAATAACACTCTAGATCCAAAGCCCTTCACCGTGCTTCCAAGCCAACACAACTAGCCTGCTAGTCCATTTCCTCTAACAGTCTCCAAAATTGGAGTCATCAGAAACTTCAAGATGTAACCAATCTGAATCTTTTTCTTTTTAAGGAAGAGGAAACTGAGGCTCAAGGTCACACAGCCAGAGCGTGGCAAAGCAAGGACCCGAACTTGGCTCCCTGGACTTGAGTCAAAGATTCTTCTCTGTAAATCCTATAGGGTTCTAAGCACCGTTCTCTTCCGGGTTCTTCGTTGTGAACCCCAGCCTAACCTATCAAACCCCTCTCGCCCCTAATTTCTATCCTCGTTACCCCAACTCTGCAAAGCCCAGCGCCCACCGCGGAGGGGATTCCTCCACGTGCTTCCCACCACCTAGTGCCTCCCGCCAGGTCCATCCCAGGCTACAGAACCCCGCCCCCTTTGGCGGTCCCGTGCTATCCAGAACCGCGCCCTCCCGCCCCGGCCCCCGCCCCGCGCCCCACCCCATGTGCCCCCTCCGCCCGGTACTCAAACCCTGGCCCCTCTCACCGGTAAAGCCGCTTGGTGTGGAGAACCTTAGCTTCGGGTTCGCTGCTCTCCCCGGTGGGGGGGCCTTGGCTCATGGTGCCCGAGCCCACGGGCGGCTCCCGGTCACAGACTCCCGCCGCCCGCCACTACCGCCGCTGCTGCCGTCTCCGGCCGTAGTCGTATCCTCCTCTGCCGCCGGCCCTGCTCGGCCGCCATTGCTGTGAGGCGGCTGTCTGCGACGACTCCGCCTCCAACTACCAAATCTCGCGATAGCAGCCGCCGTGCTGCGGACTAGTGACCAAATAGTATCAAATCTCGCGAAATCGGTTTCCCTCCAGGGAAGTTGCCAGAACTAACTCTGGGCGGCATGGCCTCTTTCCGGCTTCTCCGAGCCCTTGAGAAAAACTTTATTGACAAAGGTTAACGGACAGTGGGAGAGGCGTCTGATGTAAACTATTGGGGTAGGTAGACTCACAGCTGGAAGCTTGGCTTTGCTGTGCCCTCCAGTGGGTATTTGGCTCATCCTGCACCCTAATACCGCCACACACACACCCAGTTGAGCCAAGCCTCTAGAGATTACTGGATAGAAAAATTCCAGTACCTCCCCATAATTTAGATAAACAAAAAAGTGTGTAAGAATGTGTAGCAAAGGTTCCTTGGAGAGGGCTGAACATCACAAAGGACTGCGCCTCTAGAAGATGCGGTTTTTGTAGGAGCATCTCAACCCTTCAGGTTCCCCTCCTAAAGATTTCCAGCTAAACCTGACCTCTGCCCCAAACTTGTGCTGCGTCTGGGGACACAAGCAAGCCAGACCCTGTCCTTCCCCTCACAGAGCTCAGATGCCTTGGTCTCTCACAGCTATGGTTAGTCTCATGAGAAGTCACTCCCTCATATTTCTGTTCCCAGATCCTCTCATTAAGGCACCTCTGGACTGGGGATATAATAGGACAGTGAGTTCACAAAAAAAAAAAAAAAAAAAAAAAAAAAAAAAAAAAAACAGAAAAAGAAATCACCTCCTATCTAATTTAAGTTAGGGAGCTGGTGAGATGGCTCAGTGGTCTAAAGCACCTATTTAGAACAAGCTAAGCCAAGCAAAGCACAGGGACCGCGGTTCAATCCCCCAGCACCACATGCCAGCCAGCCCTGCCCCCTGGTGGGCTGAGCTGGCCACACACACACAAAATTGATTAATTAATTAATTAAAAAATAATAATAATAATTTAAGTTAGGGTTTTCCTGTTGTTTTGTTTTGTTTTAGAGTCTCACTATATAGTTCGGAATGGCCTTGAACTCACCAGATAGTTGAAGCTTACCTTGAACTCACAGCAGTCCTCATACTTCATCCTTTCCAGTGCTGGGATTACACGTGCACACCACCACACCTGTCTTGAATCCTCCCCACCCCAAACCTAACCTAAAATCAAAGTGTTCTGGGGCTTGTGTGTGTGTGTGTATATATATATATACATATATATATATATATATATATATATATATATTTTCCCAGAACTGGGGATTGAACTCAGGCCCTTGTGCTTGCCAGGGAAGCGCTTATTCTACTGAGCCATCTCCCTCCCCTGCCCTGTGTATATATTATAATGAGACTCAAATTTCCATTCTACCACCATGCTCTGGAACCGGGGATTGGATTGAACTCAGGCCCTTGTGCTTGCCAGGCAAGCACTTATTCTACTGAGCCATCTCCCCAGCCCCAACTTTTCTGTTCTTTTTTTTTTTTAAATTTTATTTATTTATGTATTTATTTGTGTGTATGTGTGGCCAGCTCCGCCCACCAGGGGGCGGTGGTGCTGGGGGATTGAACAGCAGTCCCTGTGCTTTGCTAAGCTTGTTCTAAGTAGGTGCTTTAGACCACTGAGCCATCTCACCAGCCCAACTTTTCTGTTCTTGAAACAGCCTAAGTCCCACCTACTGGCCTTTCACTTGCATTTACTCTGCAGGGAACACTCTTACTTCTGACTTCCCATCATGTTGCAGCTCAAATGTCACCTCAATGAAGTGTTCCCTGTTGAAATGGTCTTAATGTTTGAAAAG